TCCGCCGCCGGCGCCTTGGTGTGGAGCCCCCGCGGAGGGGGGTGCGGCTGGGGGGAGCGGAGGCTCCGCCGGTGCCGTTCCCGCCCTACGAGCCCCCTGGTCCGGCCAGCGGCGGGAGGAGTTTGGGGGTGACAAGCGGCACTGGGTTGGCAGGGCCCTCGGCATGTCAGAAGGGGAGGAAAAAAAAGCGCGGTTGCGCTCGGGGGAGGGCCTGAGGAGGTTTTGAGGAAGCAGGGCTCTTCTACCTTGAGTTACTTGGACAGGCGAGCTGCCACTGCCCGTCCTGAGACTCAGGGATGTGCCACAGGTCAAAGCGTTACAGAATCATTCCGGTTGGAAAAGCCCCTCGGGATCATCGAGTCCAGCCCTCAGCCTGACTCTACAAAGTTCTCCCCTACCCCACATCCCCCACAGCTCATCCCAACGGCCCTTAAACCCCCCCAGGGATGGGGACTGCCCCCTCCCTGGGCAGCCTGTTCCACTCTCGGACCACTCTGTGACATTCAGAAGTTGCAGACCTTTCTAGTTGACATTTCTTCGTGTGAACCATCTGCTCCCAGCTTAAAAGTGCCTTCTGGCACAAAAAGTCATAGAAAAAATTCTTTTTAAACACGTCAGAAAGAAGTGTTACTTTTTTTTTTTCTACTAAGGACCCTTCTAAAGTGTATTTCACTTACAAATAGTTTTTGTATTAATCGACTATTGCACTTCTCTAATGTATTCCTGTATGTGTACGTTTAAGTTACATGTTCCTTGAAGTAAAATGTTTTTCAGGGTTTATCTTAAAGTACTCTTAGAGCTGTTGCTTCTGACTAGAACAAGCTCTTGATATGTTTTGGCAGTTAAAAAACATATGAAAAAAGACCTGTATCTATTGTTGTACTAGCGGCATCTCTCTACCAAGTATTAGAACAGCAACAGGATTCAGATTTTTAGGAAAATACGGAGGCGGGGGTGGTAGTCGTTGTGGGAGCTATTTCAGACTTGAGCATCAGGAGTAGAAGGTATTTTATTTCCCTGGCTGACTTTTATGCCACAGGGTTACTTGCGCTAATCATAGTTGTATGGAAGAGCATGCAGAAATACCTGCATTCCTAAATTTAATAAGTTTTTCTGTGACAAAGCATAAAAGATTATGGAGGTGTAGGGTTTTTTATGTGGATGTTGGTTTTGAAATTTTAAATGATTTGTTAGTTATGATTAACTGTCTCTAGAGGACCTGGAAGAACGGGTGATCTTGCTTGCTGATTTGCAGGATCAACTTAAAATCGCCCCAATCGTTTTCCGGTTCAGTGTTGAGCGTGTCTTGGTTATATTAATGCTTTTGTGGGGGTTTGGAGTTGTTGGCTTCTTACTGATTGTTCTCCTTCGTGGCTGTCTTTCAGATGGGACACCCAGGCATGCCACATTATCCTCCCATGGGAATGCACCCTATGGGTCAGAGACCACCGAATATGCCGCCAGTTCCACACGGTATGATGCCTCAGATGATGCCCCCCATGGGAGGACCACCAATGGGGCAGGTAAGACAGTTTTACAAGATTAATTTTTTTTCTTTCTTTCTTCTCATAATGATGTCAGGTAATCCCTGAGGTGGGTAATTCTCATACAGTAGCTTGCAAATGGTGAGGTTAATCGTTCAGGGTATGTTATGCCACAGTTCCTATCCATACAGAAACCCTTCTCCTTTGTAACAGGTAATTGATGCACCTCGTGTGTAACTTTAATTTTAAGTAGCCATAGGTATGAACCCATAATAAAGCTTTTTGGTAGTTTTCTTTGTATTTTGAAGAAGTCAGGTTGTCTTACTAATGCATACTAGAAACATAAAGTCGCGGCTCTTTTCTGAGGTAGTAATGGTAGAGAACTTCACGTTTCTTTAATTCCTGGCTAACTCTTTAACATCTGCACAGTTTAAAATTATAGGGAGATGCAGGGGAAGAAATCATTTGAATTTCTGCAGAATTCCTTCTTGAATCCTAGGGAGTGGTTTATGGTTCTGTGTATATTCTGCTGTTGTTAGTGTCATGTGATTGAAAAATAAACCTGGCCGCTCAGTTTGACAGGTAGAGTAGCCAGAATCATATCCGTGCTTTTTGTGAATTTTAAAGCTTTTCCTTGAAATCATCAAAGATCCTCTGTGGTTTCTGATTAAATCCCAAACTTTTAAAAGAAGCAATTCTCTTTCTGGGTGTAATAAATGCTCCAGTAATACTACTTGTGATGATGGTTTGCATGCAAGTAGAAACTGAGTGTCATCTGCTAGACCAGAGCAGATAGAGGGTGGTGAGAATGATGAACACTGTGAGAAGAGCCCACAGGGTCATGCTGGAAGCTCAGTGTCTTCCTTTGCAGACCTTGGATAGAGCGTGTGTCTGTATTGTTTAACTGGTGTAAAAAGGCTTGGTAGGAATCTCTTCAGCACGGTTTTGCAGCTTGTTAGAGCTTCTGGCGTATAAATAATGCAACTTTAAAAGATGAGGAAGGTTTGACCGTTAGCATAATAGTGTGAGCTTTAGTTCGTTAGGAACTTAAATAGCAATTGTGTTTTATTCCTCTACTTAACGGTTCTCTTGTAGTTTCTGTTCCACTGTTCTCATTCTCATAAACTGAATGCTTCAATCTTTAATTATCGTGAGAAACATAGAGAACCCAGGGCTTTTTGGTGTAGATGTAGAGCAAAAAGCTGAAGGTAAATGGGATGGCAGAGAGATCTGAGGCTCAGTTCCCTACAGCCTTAAGGATGGGACAGGACAGTGGTACTCTCACACCAGAACTGTTGTGCTGGAAGCATCAGCGTTTGTTGGCTTGTTTCCTTGAAACTATAAGCTCTTTCAGCAGATACTGGAGGTTTAGTGAGGCTTTGTGGGATGGGATGTTTTGTAGCTTGTTTTTCTCCTTTCTGAGGTGAACCCCTGGGGGACATGTAGATATCAGCAACAGTCTCCTGTCAGCATCATTCTGAGGAAGGTCTTTTGGAAAAGAGTTTGCTCTCTTTCCCATTTTTTTTTTCCCTTTGACGTTGGGTTAGCATTTCTTCAGGACCTGAACCTGGATTTTTAAGAAGTTTCACACACTCAGAGCCCCCCTTAGTCACAAGTAGCAGTGGGGCAAGAGTGCTTTCTTCTCCTGCTTCTACAGGATGGCGAGAAGTAGGAGGGACCGCCTTCCAGTCTTTCCTTCCTCCCTCACCCTCCCAAGAAAACCTTGTGGATTGAGGGTGGAGCAGTAGCCCTACCACATATCCCTCTCTCCACGCGAGATGCAAGATGAGGAGAGGGGTAACCTGATGCTCCCTGAAGATACAGGGGGATGGGGTCACTTGGCCAGCCTGCCAAGGACAAGAAAGGTAAAGGGGCGTAACTGAAAGGTTGAAGGGGGTTGACTTCTCGAGACCTGTTTGGGGTGAGTGGCCAAAAGTTTATGTTCGTAATGACCGAAGTTACGTATTTTGCTCATTTTGCCACTTTTTAATGGCTTGTTAGTTCTTAAAAGCCAGAATCAGCAAAAATAACAGGAAACAGGCAAGGTATCAAACACTCAAAGTAGCATTTTTAACATCTTTTCAGTGCATCACTTCAGTGGTGCGTAACTACCCCTTTGAGACTATAAGCATAAATATTTGAGCAAAAGCTAGCTTATCTGAGCAGCAGTTCTGTGGGGGTTTTTGTCTCATTGGACCACTCGACAAACTCAGATACAAGTCTTGACTCAAACGTTGCGTTTCTGTAGTGTGGCATGTCCCCAGTACTAAGTTCACACTGTACGTGGTTTAATATTATATATCTATATTCAGGGTTTTTTTTTCCTGACCTTTAAAAAAAGAGTTCAGAATTGTTTTAGAGCTTTGCTGTTTAAAATTAATAGCTTTCTTCACCTTGAAGTTGTTTGCTAAAATTCATTCTTCTAGTGTCCCTGTAAAAGTGTTTCTTCCTACTTGCAGAGGTAAGAAGAAAGGGAAACAGGTTGAAAGGTGTCAAAAAATGTGAGCAGAACTAATCTTAGACTCTGGGTTTGCCTTTCCTTTGTTTAGTTTGTTCTGTGTGGCCTTGGAATTTTGCAGAAATCTTTCCCAACCTCTATCTTTCTTGCTTTAACTTTCCTGCTTAGAATTTTCAGTAATAGCTTATTAACAGATCACACATCATTTGCTGCTGTTCTTTTGTAGTTTACATGGTCGTCCTTATTAATATTTCCTGTCAGACTTTGGAATACTGGAGTCTTGTTATTACTAATGTTGATTTTGTAGGAGTATAACGAAGGGAATCAGAATTCTGCAAACGTATGTTACCTTCTGTTGCCGAGCGCTTAAAAGGTTTTTTGGGGATTAAAAACTAGTACCAGATAATTGCTTTTAAATAAAAATAAAAGAATCCTCATATTTTCTGTTTAAAATATCATACAGTATATCTGAATTACTATTTAATTTTAGATGCCTGGAATGATGCAGTCAGTAATGCCTGGAATGATGATGTCTCACATGTCTCAAGCTGCTATGCAGCCTACAGTTCCGGTGAGTTTAACTTAATTTTCCTCTTTTTTAAAAGTTTTTCTTTGCCAGTTGCTGTCATGACTTCACTGTGGCTTTGCCTTTGTTTTCTTGAATTGGATTATGAAAAATGTATTCCTAATTACAATGAAGTTGTATGAATGAAGCTCTTGAATTATCATAAACACTAAGATTTCTGCAGGAGGTAGAGCTAGTGGTACTTGGTGTCCTATGGATTTTTGTCAGTCTAAACTCCTCTCTAACTGCATCTGCTTTTCCCCTTTTTTCTCTCTGGACTCTGCTTCCGATAACCCCTCCCTTGTCCCCTGGACCCCCCCTTGTCCCTTACCTGCTTGTAGCCTGGCAAGAACCGCTGTGAACTCTGGCTGTTTGGAGGGAGGGCGAACTGCCACTATATATCTGATTTTTTTTTTTTTATAAAAGTTTATGAAATTTAGCCTGTTTGAGATCTTGAGTAAAGTTTGTTGGAATTGGTAAAGGTATGAAGAAGTTGTTTGGGTGGAGATGAAGAGAAGTGAGTTAACCAGTGTTACAGGTGAAGTCTCTGAAGCGGAGAAGTGCAGATTTCTTTCTTTTTGGACATTTCACTGTAGGAGATCCACTTAAAAGCGGTTCTATCCACTTGAATTTAGAAATAAATTATTTTTTATTTTCTTAATCATGCAGATACTACATCCCCAAGTCAGGTCTCATCCTCGTAGAACTCTGAATTCTTCTACGGTGCTAAGCACAAAACCTTTGCTAATGTTTTTGTTGAGTATTTTAAAAACTAAGTTGGTTAATGCTCCACTTGAGTTGGGTGTTTTTTTTCATTAAAGGTTTGCTGAAGAGATTCATCTACTACGTTTGCTGTGTGTAACCAGTTAAGCAGTCCGTCTGCTCTTTGGAGTAATGAGAGAAAGAGCACAAAGATAGAGTTCCTGCAAAATAAGTAGAGAAGAGACTGTTAGGAAAAGGATGTCATGTCACCTTGATGTGTGCTAGAGGACTGAGAACTTGAACCAGGGAAGGGATGTTAATTATCTTAACAGTGGAGAAAAACTTAAGTTTAGTGCTTGGGCTTTGGCAGACTCTAGAGAATCTTCCTGATAGTTACAGGTTTGTTTCTCACTGTTGGTGTTTAATGAGATGTGAGTGTATGTTACAGCTGTAGTGTGATTTAAGTAAAAGTCAGTAACTCATTAGGCAAATTCCTTGGAACTGTGCTTCATTACTTCTTGTGCTCATGTAGCTGCTTCCTAATGCACTAAATATTTTAGAAGCTAGCAAGTAGGAAGGCTGTTAGTGATTTTCCTCCACTTCCCATACAGAATTGTTACAAGATTCTGACAAGTGATGCTTATGGAAAATTCTGAAAGAATTTCAGACCTTCAGGAAAAAATAAATCTTAAAAATTCTATGGCTAAGAGAGGCTTAAAAGGGGAGGGAGGAGTCAGCGCTCAAATGATTTTACCACTTCCTAATGTAAAACAATGCATAGATGAGTTAAAAATTGTGACCACCTTTGCAGCCTTGACTGTTTCACCCGAGTGTGGTGGTCGTTCACACCGCTCCTGTGCAGGTTCACTTTCTGTGTGCGAGCTACACAACTGTTTACTTCCAGAAAGCTGATCAGAACCGGTGTCATTCCTAAAAATTATGATTTCAGTCAGATTAGTTCTCTTGACATATACAGCAAATTAGAATGGAATTTGGAAAAGTAAACATAGGCACAAGGAAAGGAACAGGTGAGAAGGATTACTTACTGCAGCGACAAATTTAACTATGGCCCTGCTTAGGTGACAGCACTTGGAGACATGCACACACAAATATTTAACATATGGAATGCACTTTAAAGGCTTAAAGTTCGTTGGTGATTCACCTGGTTTAGTCCTATTGGATAATATCAAACAATTGACCCAATATGGTTTATTTTCTAACAAATTTTGCTTTTTTTACTTGAGTTTTTTGTTAATAAAAATTGTAGAAGAGATCTGAAAGATAATCCCTAGCAAAAGGTAAACCTGCAAGCCATATTTTTGCCTGCAGAAGAAGAAATTGGGAAAACTCTATTTGAATTCTGTTAATCTTTTTCCTTAGTTTGAAAGAATTTCAGAAAGTTACCTGTGGTTATGTGCAGGCAGTTTTATGAGTGCAGCACTAACACATTACACCAGCCACATAATTGTAACAGAAGCCTGCTAAGCTATTCCAGCAGAAATTCAGAACTTTTTTTTTTTTCCTCCCAACGTACTCATTTGGGGAGATAAAGATGGGTACTGGAATGATGGCAAGGGACCCCCTGCTGTACTTTATTCTGTATATATTGCCTTTCTGAAAAGTACCTTGATATTCCTAATGGCTTATTTAAGGGGCAGAAACAATGAAATGGGAAGCTGGGAATCCGTATTTCAGGCAGTAGAGCATTTTGTTGCTGAAAGCACTTGTTTGGATGTGTCCTGTATTATTGATGGTTTAATTACGATTGCACTCAGTACTTAAATGTCTGTTGATTGTTTTTACAGCCAGGGGTGAACAGTATGGATGCGCAAGTAGGTGAGTATAAACAATTTGTTACCGTTTCAAAATATTTTGCCAAAATGAGATGGAGTATTAAAAAAAAAAATACATACTTTCCTGTCAAATGTGATCTAGTATTGCTGTAACTGACATCATTGTTGATTCCCAGAATTTTTTTTTTCTTTCAAACATCAATTATTTAGACGCTTTATATAGAAAAATAAAGCAACCAAACCCTTTTTAATTTATTTTTATTTTAATTTTTAGGCGTAACACCTCCTGGAACTCAGGTATGTAAAAACCAGAATTCTAGAAGATTATAATGGCAGTGTGGTGTTGCGCATACCTGGCTTTACATGTTTAAAAGAAAACCTTGTATCTTACGCTGCTTTGCTTATTCAACTGTCAGTCTGTAATTCATGTTAGTAAAGTAGGTGTGTTTTGTGTTACATTTCCACTAAGTTCTGAGCGTTGAAGTCTGTCTGTTTCTAGCTCTTCTGCTATGTAGGACAGCAATATGAGGTGGTTCTTGCAATGTTTTTAGGCCTTTTTGCCCTACCTGAGCAGCAAGGGAATTGTAACCTAGATACGTACGTTCCTTTAAAGCTGACTGTTTTCAGATTTAAATTTTAGCAGATCCTGGGCTAGATAGTTAGGGTAGAGTTGGGATTTTATTTACACTGAAGATGGTTGAAGCCTGTTCCTCTTTCTGGGTTTTTCGTCTTTTCTTTTTTTTCTTCCATATCAGTGACCAGTTTCCAAGCAGATTTTTATTTTACGAATGTTTGGGTAACGTAATGGATATTTTGCTTTGGCAGTTCTAATATGTATAGCAGAATTCAGAAGTAAAGATTAAGTCTCCCTTGCTGTTCCTTAATGTACCCAGCTTAGCGGGAGAAGCCAGGTCATGGTTCTGGCATTGTTCAGTCTGTGTGATTTTTATTTTTTTTTTTTTCTTTTTGTTTTGAACCTTTATTAGCATTGTCTTACAGGGAGTTTTGTTACCAGACACTTCATCAATAAAAAGAGCATAGCCTATATAGTTGCCCATAGTAATTTTGAAAACATCACTGTGGTTTTTGAAGATTATAAAGTACTGACCTCTAAGGAATGGTTATCACCACTTCATTGATTTTGCTGCTCATAGGTTGTTTAGCTCAATGGTCTCCTTCCCTGTTCGTGAGAACACAGCGTAGTCCAGTAACTTAATAGGAATAAATGTTGGGTAAATATAAGGTGATTTAATATAGGTTGAAGTTGGAGGCAGGATGGTGGCATGCAGGCCAAACTCGCTTCATTATGTGATTTTGGGTAGTTTTCCACCTTTCCATCAGGTGGGAGATCACTGGTGGAACAGAACTGGTGCTCTATGAAAAAAAATAATGACATTTTAAAAACCATGAATCAGTGTAACTTTGCATTGAGGTAGGCAGGTCATCTGGAATTAACCTCAGATTGTAAGGTTGTCTTTCATGGCACCTTGACTGACCATGAATAGCTTTCAGTCGCTGTATTTAAAATTTTGTAAATATTAAATTACTTCTTCAGGAGATATCCCAAACGTTTACTTTTAGTTTTTAAGGTCATGAGGGAAATAGTTCGGCTAGATAACTAAGAGGTGGAATCAGTAAAAACAGTGATGTGGCCTCGAAGAAGTCGTTTCTCGAAAACAGTACTGACTTACATGTTTAGACCTTGGCTTGCTGTCTTTGCTGCTGAATTTCTTGGTATATTTAATGTACACATTCAAACGAAAAACAGATATTAACCAGAATGTCTTTTCAGAGCTCTGTTTTATTTCGCCCTCAGACAACGCATCCCGTAGTTTGCGCAGCCCAGCAAACCGCCACAACCAACAGCTCTGTTAATGAAGAGCACTCCAAACAGGTTTATCTGCTTTCCACTTGTATTTTAACTTTTTTTTTTAGTGGCTTTTGATAGCATCTCGGACAATGATTACTGTTCATCATGAATGGTATATTTTATTTTTCCTAGAAATCTACGTGGACAGAACACAAATCACCCGATGGAAGAACATATTATTATAATACTGAAACAAAGCAGTCTACATGGGAGAAGCCAGATGATCTCAAAACGCCTGCTGAGGTAGACTAAATTCAGAGGAAGATTACTGCGTGAGCTTTGTGAACACAAGAGTTTATTAGCATAAATATCACGCAGAAGGATAGCTGTGCTAATAGATTATTTTTTTTTTATGGGAGTAAACTCTTCAAATAAGAAATGTTGCAAAAATATTTATATCTTACTCCTTATGTTGGTAGAACTTGGGGCTGCAAGGGGGCAAAACTCTCGACAGTTTTCCTCAATTTTTAGATAAATTTTCCTTATTTAAATATTAAAGAATGCCATCTTTTCAATAAGTAACGTGTTTATTGCTAGGGAGGATTTCCCTGGAAAGCATATGCTTTGTATTCATTGACTCTTAAGTTACTACTTGTAGTGCTTGTGGCTCACTTCTAGCTATCCTTTTAATTCTAAGACACCATTGTAAGTTTGATTTAATGTTTTTGTTTTCTGTCCATTAGCAATTGTTGTCTAAATGTCCCTGGAAAGAGTATAAATCTGATTCTGGAAAGCCCTACTATTATAATTCCCAAACAAAGGAATCACGCTGGGCAAAACCCAAAGAGCTTGAGGATCTTGAAGGTAATGCTAACAAAAATGAGTAGGGAGGGTGGGCAGCAAGCTCTGCCTGTGCATGGCTCTTGGCAAAAATTTGGTATCGAAGCATAGCAAACTTCTGTTAGAAATTAAATCTGCTGCAACAAGCTGTCTGTAGTGGAGTTGATGGAGTTTGAGATTGCCGTGGAGCACTCTGCTCTCCTGTGCCCTCACCACCGTCCCGTTTTCCCTTATACTCTTAGTTTTTCCCTGTTTACGCGGCGGCAGCTCCCCCTCGTGTCCCTGAACGGGAACTGGGTGAGGGTGGAAGGTGCTGCCTGTCTGGGTTGGCAGGAGGGAGCGCGCAGGGCTGCTGCAGGATTTGACTCTGCATTAGCCACCCATCCTTTGGGAACCTGCAGGAACTGCGTAGGATTTGTGAAGGGGTTCAGGTTGATGGGGGAAGGTGAGAGGCAGAGTGGTGGCTGTGCTGATCCTCATTCGCTTGGGAGACCGGGGTGGAAGGGTGCTGGACTTGTGTAATACAGTACAGTTTATAACTGAGCAAGAACCACATTTTGGTTTGGTGTCTTGGAAGAACTTTGAAAGTGATGTATTTTGTACTCAAGGCAGTAGTACTGGCTGGCTGCTGAAAGCCAAAATTGTGCGTAAGGCTTTGCTTTAGGTATCAATTTGCTTTTGATTTTTGACACAAATTATTCGGAGATGTGGCAAAAACATTGCTAATTTGTTATTGCCCTTTGGTATTATAAAGGCAGTATCCCCTTCTGTACAAATATCCCATGATGCTGTGCTCCTGTTTTTCGCTTTTAGCACAGTTTTGTTTGGTATTGTAAGGGAAATAAGATCCTGATGAAAAATCTACAAAATCAGCTGGGGTAGGAAATGAGTGTTTAAAAAAGTACTACAAATAACAAGCATCAGTGACAGAATAAAAAGGAGGGAAGAGCTGTTGCAGTAAGCCTGGCTTCCTGTTCTTTAAACGAGTCTTTTCGAGTTGAAATAGTTACCTTAAACCAAGAAGTTTTTCTTTCTATACCCTAATCTTACCTTTAATGGGATTTCTTATTTTTGTTAGTCTGAATTGGTTTTACTAAAATTATTGATAGCAACAAAAATACTTAAAGCTATGTTTTTTTAACTCATGTTAACAGTGACTTTTTTACCATGCTTATATAAACTATTTTGGAAGCTTTATTTTGATTGTGTTTTCTCCTTTCTCCTCTAGCAATGATTAAAGCTGAAGAGAACAGGTATGTATTTAGTGGTAATGGTTTTGTTGCCTGTTGCTTGAAAATGAGACCTAGTCCTTGAGTCTGAAAAGATTCTCCTTACAGCTTTTCATTCTAAGTAGTGGCTTAATACATAAAACCACAAGTAATGTATTTTAAGTTTCTTTTTCACTGAAATGTTTGATCTACACAGACTCACAGTTCCAGTAAAGCGTTTTCTTTCTCTAAGCTGAGATTGTTTTGTGTCCTTCTGAGAAGTCCTTGTAACTAGATCTAAACATCTCATTTCGTACTTTATTAACTTATTCAAACTACAGCTTTCCCTAAGCCATTAAGTTCTCCCCTACTTGTGTGTGACTGTTCCTGTTTTCTTTTACCTGTAGCACAAAGCCCGAAGAATCAACCCCGACGACGGCCACCGCTGCTGCTGCCGTGGACGCCGCAAACGCAACCACCACGGCCAGCACTGAGAGCGCGGCGGCTGCTCCCTCCGCCGCTGCTTCTGCAGCCAGCGCAGCCCCCGAAGCAGAGACTGCGGCAGCCGCCTCCGTGGTGGAGAATGAGAGTTCTGGCACGGCCACAGCCGAGGAGCAGGGGCAGGCGGCGGCTGCGCCTGCTGCGCAGGACCAGAGCGGCGAGGGTGCAGCCAGCGCAGCGGACGACTCTTCCAAGCAGGAGGCCTCAGCAGAGTAAGTGAAGCTGCACAGAGTACGTGACTTTGCCACGGTTCTTGGGTTTCTTCTAGGATCTGGTTTATCTTCTATTGTAGGAGGCCAGGCTTTGACAGTTAGCTGTTCTTCAGGGAGCGTGAATCAAGGGCAGCAGAGAAGAATAATGAGTAAGAAAGAGGGGAAGAAGTATTAAATCTATTTTTAGAAAGTTAACGCCCTCCCCTTGCCCACCCTCTCCCAAAGCTCCTAAACCCCACAGAGAAACAGTGGTGTGAACATTTCACAGATTTCCAATAGCTGCAAGTGTTTCCCAGGGTAACGTTATGTGCTTACCCTCTGTGTTTCCTCTTCCATAGATCTGTGCAATTGGCTATCATCAGAAGAAAAATGTAATGCTAAATTGATCTTTCTTTGTTCCACCAGAAAGGAGATCCTTTGTTTTTTAATAACGGAGAACTGATTATGGGGAGAATTACAGCTTATGATTGTTATCATTCAAACAAAAAAAGAAACGCGCTGTGGAGGATTGTAGCCAGCAGGAGATAGCTGAGGGCAAGAGATGTATTTTAAGCACTCTCCTTTATATTTTTATATAATATATTTCTGAATATTCCTGTTAAATTTCAGCATTATATTTTAATGAATCATTTCTAGATAACTGGAGCAGGTAGCCAGTTGCTTAAGCGATAACACTTTTCTGAAATAGTTTGCTGCTTTTGCTCAGTTGTGTACAGTGTCTAAGGAAAAGTCCTGTACAAATTGTGGTGTTTAGCATTTGCAGCATTATTTTTCCAGTTGCTACTTAAAATACTCATTCTAGCTCATTATGGTGGTTTATGACCCTTCAGTGGCTCTAACTTAGGAAAAAAAAAAAGCTTAAATAATCATATTACTGATTTTTGTATATAGTGCTGCTTCTAAGAAGGAGGATGATGATGCCCAACCAGTTAAAAAAACATATACGTGGAATACGAAGGAAGAAGCAAAGCAAGCATTTAAAGAACTGCTAAAAGAAAAGGTATTTCAGTCAACTATCTTAATACTTTATTAAACTACTGTTGCTCTAAATTGCTGGACTTTTTCTTGTGTGTGAAGAATTTCTCACCGTGGTGAAAGAGGACTTTAGTACTAACAAAGAAATGAGGGAAAAGAATACTACAGTGAAAAAAAAATACAGAGTTTAAAATTTTTTAGCTCTTTGGGTGAGTAGGGAGGTGTTGACGTTTCATCAGGGCTCACAGTTCATTTTTTTTCTCATTTTTTTTTCCTTTTATGTGATCCCCACACTAATGCACACGTGTAATCTGATCTTTGTCCAGAATTCACACTGGAACGGTGAGTGATTTGACAGACAGCTTCAGAGACAGACAGTGTGGAGATCCACATGGAAAAAGGACAACCTGTTAGATTTTGCATGCAGTGTTTCCATAAACTAGTAGGATGTAGAGACACATTTTTCCCCCCGTGAATTAGTAAGTCTAAAACTCTATTTGAGTGCTGTGGAAGCTATGGTTGCCAGTATTTTTGTCTGGCAGTGAGGTACATTTCTAATAAGTTGCTTAATCATCTGAGCCCTCAATTTTTTATTTTTGTTTTAAAGATAGAGATGAAGTGGGAGTAAAATGAGACTGGCTTTGGTTTTCCCTCAGAGTACGTGATACGTGCTCATGTACACAGTGAGTTGACGTAGTTGTGGAGTAGGCAAACTTCCAGAAGAATTTATTGTAGAAATGGCAGTAATCCCAAAAGTCCCTTGTTTTGTTTTTCATATTGACTATTAATGAAGCTTAAAAAAAAATTTATGTCAGAGAATGTTATTATCTTCACCTCAGAGGTGTAGTGGTTTTTTTTCCTAGGTGCTTTTTTTTTTTTTTTAAGGAATCTGTCATTGTTGGATGTTGGTTTCATGTCTAATTAGTTAACAATTTGATGTCTTCACAGCGAGTACCATCCAATGCTTCTTGGGAGCAAGCTATGAAGATGATCATTAATGATCCCAGATACAGGTACTGCTTGATTCTTTCCTCATTACATTTCTACACAAATACTATTTGACTTTACTGATTTAACGTTTGGCTGTTTTAAGAGGTATCTGTGAATGTGTACCATTGTCAGGGAACTTTGTTCTTTTATTACATAAAGAAATGCAAGTCCTAGGCTTAATTTTTCACTTGGAAAAGATCTGGCAGTTGTTGGGTTTATTTTAAGCTCTTTAAATGATTTTCATCGGAATTAAAGCACAGGTTTACAATAATGGAGCTGAAGATTTTTTAGATTACTTTTTTAAATGGGTGGCTGCTATAAACATTTGCAGAAAAGTGCTTGATATCCATAACAAAAATAGTTTTGTAATGTCAAATGTATAAATGCAACCTGAAAACATGATAGTAGCTTGTGTTTTCTTAAGAAGTGTCTGGTTTTATGGCTTTTTCGGAATGATCTCCTGTAATCCCAAGGGAGAGACAAAGTAGTGACTGGCCATTTAGATATTACTTATTTTTTGTCTCAAAAATCTGGATTATTCAAATCTGTTATCTTTTAGTTCTTTGGTTTTGTTTTTCTAATCTATTTCTCTTTTGTAAAACTGATGATGTTTTCTTTTTCTTTGACGTGAAGCGCTTTGGCAAAATTAAGTGAAAAAAAGCAAGCCTTTAATGCTTACAAAGTTCAAACAGAAAAAGAAGAGAAAGAAGAAGCAAGGTCAAAATACAAAGAAGCTAAAGAATCCTTCCAGCGTTTTCTTGAAAACCATGAGAAGATGACATCCACCACGAGATACAAGTAAGACCCATCTCACGTGAAGTTTCAGCCTTCACTGGCTTGCCAGGTTGATCAGTGCTGGCTTGCTCTTGGTGAATGGTGAATGCTGACCTTTGGATGCGCTCAGCCTGCAAAAGCCTCTCACTAAAATACTGATAGGAACACAAATAGTCTCATTTTTGTAGACCCAGGCAAAAAAAACCCCAAACAAATCGAGTGGTGTGCTGATGATAAAGGGTTGAACTTCTAATAAGCAGAAATACAAGACAATGCTGAGAGGAGTTTTGTGTTACATCTGCCATTGATAACAAAATAGCTCCGATAGGCTGTTCATGAAGTTCATGCCCGGAGGGAGGTATATCTAATAAGCTTGTTGAAAATTTCCTAGCTCTGATTTTGTATGATGTTTGCTAGAGCAGTGACCTGAACATGTGCTAGCCCTCAGATAGAAATAAGAGGTAATGCACTGCGGGTAAACTTGCCCTTCTACAGAGAGGAGTGTACAGTGGCATCAGCTTTAATTTTTAACCATTTCCTTTGTAAGAGACAGAAAGCTGCCACAGAAGAAGTTTCCTGAGAGAGAGAATTAGGGAGATGTCATACAAAAGCATTACTACTTACAAAGAGTTGATTTAGTGTTACTGTAAGCCAGTGGGACAATTTAAGTCATGATAAATGATTGTATGCTTTGTCTTTGTTTTGTACAGAAAAGCTGAACAAATGTTTGGGGAGATGGAAGTTTGGAATGCAATATCTGAGCGTGATCGTCTTGAAATCTATGAAGACGTCTTGTTTTTTCTGTCTAAGAAAGAGAAGGTAACTTTTTTCAAATCTCTTTTTTTCACTCGTTATCTGTGAGTCAAAGACAGTCACAACACAGACGGGGAGGGGTCTGTAGGAAGGGCACGGAGAACCCAGTGAGAACGTGTGCTGCGTTATTGTGAACCACACGCTGCTTTTACAGGGGAAGGTCAGGTTACACCCTCTCCCAAAGGAGCGAGGCAGGAAGTGATAACCCTTGTCTCCCTTCTGTTCTTTGTGAGACACTGCAGAGAGGGGACTCGGCTCGGAAAGATGTGATGGGGAAGGGGACAAAGAGAGAAGCTGACTGGTTTTGTAGAGGTGAATTTGGAGACATTGGTCCTTATTTCTCACTATCCAGTACACAAGGGGTGTTCAGTAGAGTCAGCAGGCAGAAGGTGATGCACCTTTACCTGCATAAGCTAGTTCTGTTCCTGCACAGTGCACAACTGAAGTTGTGGAGCTGTCTGCTGCGGGGTAACACTTTGGAGATTCAAATTTCCTGAAAAGCTGCCTGCTTGAAACTGGATGAGCACGCCAGGAGGAGATTGCTCTTATTACCTTTCCTACTTCATCTCAGTCTTCTTGGTGGACAAATCTGCCATACAGGCTCAAATCAGACACAGCGGCAGTTTCTTTGAAAGAGCTTTGTTCTTACCGAGACATGTTACTGCTAATTTTGCGGTGTGTTTAATTTTTAGTATGATTTTAATAAATTACGTGATGGCTTTTATTCCGCACTGCTCTGAATCAGAATCATGGGCTGGTTGCAGAAAGCTGTGGTTCCTTTAACCTCTGGGTACCGTACCAGCTGTCTGCCCCTCGATGGGGGCACTCTTTCATGAGCTTGTCACATCTGTCAGGAGCAGCCAGAGACAGCAGTACTGAAATGGTTTATTTGTGGATGTGAGTGATAATAGTACATAAAAGTATGTAGGTCCAAGCTGTATTACACTGCTTTATGTGTAAATGAAAGGTTAATTCTGTGTTGTCTTGGAAAATGTGCTCGAGGGGTCATGTGTTTTTGTCTGTACAACCTCAGATTTATTTTTTTTTTTAAGAAATGTATTTTTTCCTCAGGAACAAGCCAAACAGTTACGAAAGAGGAACTGGGAGGCTTTGAAGAACATACTAGACAACATGGCTAACGTCACTTACTGCACTACTTGGTCGGAGGCTCAGCAGTATCTGATGGACAACCCCACGTTTGCAGAAGATGAGGAGCTTCAGAGTAAGTAAAAAGTCTGTGTGTTTCTGTGGAAGGAGGGATTTGGTTTGTCTTTAGCCGTGAGGGCTCCTGGCCGGGAATGGCTTGATCCTGCCCAGTCCAGAGCTGCTACGGCAGCTGCTGAGCACCTGTTTGAAGGACCCTGTCATGGTTCTTTCCTCAAAAACAGATGTCAGCTTCAAAAACCATTCCTGATTAATCTTGATGATAAAGCAAAGGATACCCTTTTCATGGGGATTGAATTGCTTCAGTAGTTGTTAGAAACGTGAAGAAATATTTGACAATGTAATCTGTGTTGCAGATGCTTAACACTACCTTCTGCTAGAGTGAGTGAGGTCCTGCTGTGTGTTTTCCTAGAAAAGTAATCGTTTTACTCTTCTAGAGCAAGAAGGCACTTTTGCCATTATGAGCACGTTTTCCTTATAAATGAGTTGATCCTGTATTTTAAGAGCAGCATATGGATTTATACAGCAGATAAATATTTGACCCAGATGCTCTGTGTTCTTAATGGTGTGTTTAAGAGACCTGTGGCGATGCAGGGAGGTGCACAAGTCCCCTACGCTACTTTTCTGAAAGGCCTCTGTGCTGGCACCAATAATTTATCCAGGTGGTTGGGTTTGGCTGCTGAGCAGGTCTTCACGTATGTAGGTGCTCGGTGATGCTTCACTCACAGTAACAGCTGGAGGTGTTACCTCGTAGTAAGAAGCTTTCTGCAGTTAGTGGGAAGAAATACCTGATTTTTACTGTTATCACTCTGTTATCTGTTGCTAGACATGGATAAGGAGGATGCGCTGATCTGTTTCGAGGAACATATCAGGGCGTTGGAAAAAGAGGAGGAAGAAGAAAAACAGAAAAGCTTGCTTAGAGAAAGAAGGCGGCAGCGTAAAAACAGAGAATCTTTTCAGGTTGGTGGACTTTCTTTTTCTGTCCTAAAAGTGTCACATAATTAGGTATTCTGTTGCAGTTATTTTTTTTAGGATAGGCTAACGGGTGTGTATAATACCTCTGTGCACCAGAGAGCTGCAAGAGAGGGGGGAAAGCAAGAGGAAGTAGATTTGAATGGAAAGGAGATGGAATTGGAATGTTGTGAATGGTGGAGGAAGGCAGGAAGAAATGATGTGATTGAAAAAATATTTATTTTTTTTTTTTTTTTTACATTTTAACAAAAATGGAATTCCACTTATCAGGAGTATCTATTCCAGCTGTTAACCAAGTAGAAGTACGATGAGTGACTCCAAATTTCCATTTCACTTGTGTTTTGTAGCTCTTTTTAGATGAACTGCACGAGCATGGACAGTTACACTCAATGTCCTCTTGGATGGAGTTGTACCCAACCATAAGCTCTGACATCAGGTTCACTAACATGCTTGGTCAGCCTGGTAAGAATACTGTCTCTTCTAACCCTGTAGAGAGTAGGGTGAAAGATTTGGGGCAGAATAGAACAGGGTTACTTATATATTTTCTAAATGTCTAAAAAAATGCAGCTCTTTTATTAGAGCTAGCTTTTGACTTATCTAGTTTTTTCATCAGGATCAACAGCACTTGATCTTTTCAAGTTTTATGTTGAAGACTTGAAAGCACGTTACCATGACGAAAAGAAGATAATCAAAGATATCTTAAAGGTAAGAGGGGAGTCTGCTCCCTTACATGGTGGTTTCTGATGGCTCAAGTGGACTCTGCTACTAGAGCTGGGATTTCACATTGCATTGATGTCGTGAGCACTAGCACTGAAGGGAGAGTTCTTGACTTACCTGATGCCAAAGAAGCAATTTTCTTACAGGATAAAGGATTTGTGGTTGAAGTGAACACTTCTTTTGAAGATTTTGTTACGGTCATCAGCTCGACTAAAAGAGCTACTACTTTAGATGCAGGAAATATCAAGCTGGCTTTCAACAGTGTAAGTATTGATTCATAGGAATGTTCAAAAAAAAATCGTAATACAAAATCTCATGTTAAAAACAAGAATTGGCACTTCACTGTAGTGCTATGACTACTTCCATAATATTTGAGAGGTAACTTTAGATTTGATATCCTGATACCAGTTCCCAAAACAAAGATTGCAGAGTGATCTCTTTATTCAAACCATAAACATTTCAACTTGAGAAATTCTGTGGCAAGAATTAAGTAACATTCATTTATACAAAGCTTTTCTCAGGAGGGATTTTTTTGTGTGTGTGCGTAGCTCTGGCTTGCATGACGTATTAACTCTAGATTTTGTTTGTGAAATGGCAGTTGCATGCTTTAAAAATAATTAATCGGTTAATTTTCCCACGTGCCCAAGTGACTAGCAGAAAACTCTAAAGGTGAGCTGTCGTTGGGCTTTCCAAAAATTGCATTAAGCTGAATTATTACTCTTCCACTTTGTTATTTTTCAAATGATCTTACGGCTTTTGTTTGCTGTAGCTGCTGGAAAAGGCAGAAGCCCGTGAAAGAGAGAGGGAAAAAGAAGAAGCTCGTAAAATGAAGCGGAAAGAGTCTGCCTTCAAGAGTATGTTGAAGCAAGCTACTCCTCCAATTGAGCTGGATGCTGTCTGGGAAGATGTATGTATCCCCAGTTAATTATCAAAGTCTTTCCAAATGCTTTGAACAGGCTGCTGTGTGCTGATGGTTTTATAAGTTAACTGAGATTCGCTGAGATCTCCGTGTTTCTGTCTGTATAACTTAGACCCAGAAAAACTGTCCTCTCGTTTCTTCAGTACAATTTTAAATTTGATGTGAGTAACTTCAGTCTATTGATTCTTTCATTTGAATGTGATTTAAAACAAAACAAAAAAACCACCCTAAACCCAAACAAACAAGCAGCAAACACCCCTACCCCCAAAAAACCTAATCCCACAAAGCCCCCAAACGTAATTCCAGCGGAGATAAAGCACTCTGCTTAGTTAAAAGTCTCTAACTTTGTTCTGGTGAGAACAACCTCTGAAAACCTTTCCTCTCACAGTGTGCTTTGTATAAAAACGCAGGCTGTAACAAGCTTGCACGGCTTAAATGGCACGTGCAGGAGAAACCCAGGCTGGTCCTGCCCGCCTCCATCTGCTGCAGCTTTACTGAAGTTGGTTGTGAAGCTGGCATAAAAAATGTCTGGCCTTGTAACAATACAGTGGCTTCTTCAGCTGGTGAAACCATGCCTTGTCTTTTTTGTTATTACTTGAATTTCTGAGTGGCTGCACTTCGTATCTCACTGCTGCTTTTCTTACAGATCAGAGAGAGGTTTGTGAAGGAACCAGCCTTTGAAGACATCACTCTGGAGTCTGAAAGAAAAAGAATATTTAAAGATTTCATGCATGTACTAGAGGTAATTAGGACTCGATTTTTTTTTTTTTTCCCCCAATTAGAGAATATACAGTACATCTTAGCTGACTGGCTCTTAATTGTGTGGGAAGGGAGAGGTATTTAACAGAATTCTACTGAATCCTGTTACAGTTGACATTACCTAGAAGTAATGGATATTAAAACCTCATCTTGAAAGTAAGGAACTGAAGAAACACGTTACAGTTGTTTGATATTATCTGATACGTATTTGTTCTTCTAATCTGCTTCTCTGCAAGAATTTTCAGAAGTTAACACCAAAATTTCCTGACTTAATTTGGAAAACTTGTTTATTGCTGTGGTTTCATACGAAGTGTGATGAAACTGGAAATAACTCCTGCAGTGTTTTGTTTGCTATACATCTGGAACTTCAAGAGCACGCTGCAAATTTACTTTTTAGCCTTTTTTTTTTTTTTTTTGCTGGTGTGCAAAAAGGATGATGTAATTTAGTTTCATTCTTAATTTTTGGCTGGGCCGCACTAAGAGTTAAGCTGCAGAAGTTCTGACAAGTCGTTCTTGGTGAATGAGGTTCTGGTTTTTCCTAGATAATGAAGAGATTAGATTTTGCAGCATGTGCTCTTCGGGGGTTTTGCTTTGTTTTTCTGGCGTTTGTAAGAGATGTTTTAAAATGGCTTAACTTCAGAATTTTAAATGTGGCAAAGCAAGGTGTGCAGTGTGTTCTGGGCCATCTTGAGCAGGGCTTTACCTGGGAGCACTGAAACAGGGATTTGGGTAATGGAACCTGCGCGCATCCACGCCTGAAGTTGGATGTGTTCTTGCTTCTAAGTGCTTCTTGTTACGACTTTACATGGTAATACTGGTCGCTGCTTATGGGTTTTGACACAATAAACGTGTGATTATTTCTTTTTTTTAACCACTGCTAGCCACAGGTGCCAGGAACATCGTCAGGGTTTCTTGCTGTGTCCTACAGACAGGTTCTAACATTTCCCTTCTCTTGTACTGCAGCACGAGTGTCAGCATCATCATTCAAAGAACAAGAAACATTCTAAAAAGTCTAAAAAACACCACAGGAAGCGGTCTCGGTCTCGCTCGGTAAGGTGCTTCCTGGGGTCTTAGCTCCCCTTGTGTAAGGAGCCGTGAGGCTGTCGTTGCTGATCACCTTGGTTTGTCCCCCAAGGGCTCGGAGTCCGAGGACGACGACAGCCACTCCAAGAAGAAACGGCAGCGCTCGGAATCCCGGTCCGTGTCGGAGCGCTCCTCCAGCGCCGAGTCCGGTACGAGATTATTCTGGGTTTGTTTTTAAATGTCTGTTAACTGGTTTATGGTCAGATCTTTACAATTTTATCGATGTTAATTTTTTTTTTTTGTTTCTTCCTCCGTCTGCAGAGAGAAGTTACAAGAAGTCAAAAAAACACAAGAAAAAGAGCAAGAAGAGGAGACATAAGTCTGTAAGTGCAGTTAACTTGCAGCTGGTTAATAGACAGCTTGACCTGTTGGGGTTTCAGTGACCCCTTCTAGGTACCTGTGATAAGGGGCTGCGGGTTCAGGCTGGAGGAGGGTATTAGCAGCACAGTAACCTGTCACGTGTGTCTTAAAGCATTTAATACTGCTGAATTTGGGGGGTTTGACTGCACCCACGCGAGCGGGCCTGAAGGACTATGCGAGCAGCCTGCGGGTGCCGTTTGTCCTGGCAAACCTTGGTGTTCCCTTTCCCCGTGGGTTGCTGGGAGGAACCCCAGCCTCCTTTTCCTTCTGCCTGCTGCTGAGCACCTTCCCTTTTCTCTGCTCGAGCACCGGGGCTGCCTCAGAAGCTCCGGGGTCAAATGTACTGGAGAGAGAGAGCTTTACTCTCCTTCCAGGCCAAAGAATATTATTTCTTTTTTTTTATCCTGGGTAAAGAAAGAAGCTTGAGTCTCTGAACTCATGTGGGCTGCAGAACTCTTCAATTTAGTGGATGGCATCCAGTGTGCCCCGTCTTTGCATGTGCTGAGAATGGTGAAAGTTCTTCTGTACTGAACAAACCTCTCTCCTTTTCTTTCCAAGTCACTTTGGTAATGGTTTTGCATTACCTATTTCTGCAGTGGTTAATAGGCTGCGCTTAATTAGTAACCACTTTGAGCAGTTTGTCTAATATGGTCTATATTGGAATGAAGTCACACTTTCCTGAAGTGTGGTTAGTCTATAAATTAATATATTTAATATTTTCCCCTTTATTTGCACAGGATTCACCAGAATCGGATATTGAACGAGAAAAAGATAAAAAAGAAAGAGAGAGAGAGAGCGAAAAGGATAGAGCTAGACAAAGATCTGAATCAAAACATAAATCTCCTACTAAAAAACGGCCTGGAAAAGATTCTGTAAGCATGCTCCTTTCCTTTTTACCTGCTGCTCTGGGCTCTGTGTCCGCGGGGTGCTGCAGTACCACATGTGAGCTTTGTAGGAATGCTCAAAGTAAGGTTATTTATGTCCCAGTTCCATTTATATATAAAAATGGCCCAAACGCTCAGACCCTGTGCCCTCAGTGAGTGTTTGTTACTGGTGGGTGAAGTTAGTTTTTGATTCAGGGCTGTTTATTGCTGACGTGGAGTAGGAGTGAGGCGCGTTATTGTAGGGGCAGCGTGGTGGTTGGGTCCATCCCGTGCCAGAGCAATATTTAGGACTAAATTGCCATTGGTTTTCCACCCGTGGCCAGACCTGCTCTTGGGAGGGACAAGCTGGTGAAGCCTGGCAGTGCCCGGGTGGCTCCTGCACTCTACTTCGGGTAGCTGCAGGCTGGTGCTGAGCTGGCCCGGGGAGGAAAATCTTGGTGGGACAAAGTTCTGCAGTTGTGCTGTTGGAGCTGGGCAGTCCTGGGGCAGCTGCTTCTGGGAGGGGTATTATATTTTTTAGGAATTTCATACACTGGTTTAGGTTGGAAGAGACCTTAAAGAAGATCCTCTAGTCCCACCCCCTTGCCCCGGGCAGGGCCACCTTCCACTAGCCCAGGTTGCCCAAAGCCCCGTCTAACCTGGCCTTGGACATTTTGGGGGTGGCAGTGTCCTCCTGGATGACACCTGCATGTCACATCACCTGCTTAAACCAAGCTGCTTTGGCCTCCAGAAGCCCTTGAAAAGCCCCACGAGGTGGCCTAAGGCAGCATCTGACAGCGGGTGGGCTTAGGCCATGGCAGTCTGCAGAGGAGCTGGGCTTAGCTGGTCCCGGCCTCTCACGCTCCCCACTCCCCCGCGGGAGATGATATATCTTAATTAGATATTACATCTTTATTAGTTTGTGCTCAAAGCCAAGGGTGCTCACGGTGCTTCTCTCTGCAGGGGAACTGGGACACTTCGGGCAGCGAGCTGAGCGAAGGGGAGTTGGAAAAACAGAGGAGGACTCTTTTGGAACAACTGGATGAAGATCAATGAGAACATTATTTATACCAAATATGTTTACATTGTGGCATAATAAAAGAAACCAATGTCTAATTCAGGACGTGGGTTCTGCTATCCTGAGTTCCACTGCTGGAGCACCCGTGGGTGTTCGTTTTCCCACATCGATACATTCGAGTTCTCTTAGGACGGGCCCCGGCCTCAAATCTAGAATTTCCGAGCGCCTGTCCCAGCCCCGTGGGGCAGGACGGGTGCTGGGCTCAGCCCTCGGAGGCGTTGGCACCTTTCTAGCCAAGGTCCTTCCTAGAAAGGTCGTAACGTTGGATTTCCCGGCCAGTGTTGGCAGATAAAAATTTCTTTTCTAGAAAGAGATTCTTAATATAGTTTCTTGTGGCTTAATTTGTTTTTCACGGATTTGTTTTTATTTTGGAAAGGGGAAGGCAATGGAAATAGAAATAACAAATCCATTTCTTGGTCTGTACTGAAAAAAAAAACAAAAAAACCCAACCCACCCAATCTTGGAACGCGCTTTTGTGACCTGCGGCCCTGGCCAAACCTGCCGTGAGCTTTTGTACAAAGACTTGACTTCCTGGCGGAGCCTCGTGTCTAAGTGCCGTCCCGGTGGGAATTTTTAAATTTTTACGGTGGATTTTCCAAGCCCCCGGAGCACCGCTGCTGCTGGGAAGGCGTCAGGGGGGAGCCAGTGGAGGCAGCTGCTGCCTCTTGGCTTCCCCTAAAACCCGGAACAGCTCTGGCTGTTCCCTCAGCCGTTAGCTTTGCATTCAGAAAATTGAAAATAATTAAAAAATCCAATTGTAACTGAATTTCAATGTGTTGCCTTAAGAACCTGCTGAAGAATGTACCACCGCCTTTCGCCAGCCGCCGTGTAGCCACGTCTAGAAGGGCCCTTGGAGGGAGGAGGAGGAGGCGGCCTAAGCCCCGTCTCTCCCGTCCCGCCCGGGGCCCAGCGCAGGAAGGTTTTGCCAGCCCTGCTGGGCAGCACCTTCGCAAACCTCTGCTTGGAATATTTTTGTACATTTTTATCAATTATTAAACCTTGTCTTCTAGTGTCTACTAGTATTTCTTTCTAGTTTCAAATACCTTATAGAGCTCTGATAAATTATTACTGTCTGAGTGTTGGATTTAAACGTCTGCACTCACGAGTTGAAGGCTGGATGTCGAGTTCATTGTCCTTTTCAGTGCATTTTTTTCCTGATTTCCACCAGCTGTTCCTGGTGCATAAATACCCAAAAAGCCCAAGTCCTGCTGCATCTTTTCTTGCCAGGGTGCGTCCAGGATTTTGAGGAAGGGTAGGGCTAGAAAATAGGTGTTTGAAATAAAAAATACCTGACTTTAGTCAAAAAGGATGCATTTGTACCCAGGGGCCTGCTTAATGTCAGCTCCCCCGGGTGTGGACGGGCGGGAGCTGGTGCTGCTCCTCAGCCCGGATTTTAAATGCAGATTTTTGTAAACTTGTCAATTCATTTCCCAGGAGCCAGATTTTTAAAGTTCTTGCTGCCTGAGTGGAAATCTGCCCGACGAGGGGCTGGGAGAACCCCCTGGCTGGGGCCTCGGGGGGGTTTCACGCTGCGGCAGAGCCAGGGCGGGAGCGTGTGGAGCTCGTGTAGCGTTTGCCAGGTCCTTGCAGTTTGCAAACGTGTCAGAACTTAACAGTATTTTGTTACTGCCTTACATCTGCGTAACCTAAGGAAAAAGTGTTTCTAAGTAAATAGTACTTTTAAAAGTTTTGCCTTTATTTTTCCATTAAAATAAAAAAAACCTAAATATAAATTACTCTAATGGGGGTTCTTTATGTCCTAATTAGCTCTTGTATAAGAAATAGGTCTTAAAAGGAGACTGCTTGCAAAATAATCCTGGCAAGGCATAATTTAGTTTTTAAGGGAAATGATTTCAGGCTTTCCTGCAGGTTTTTTTACTGTTTTTCCTCCCCTTTCCTGTTTCACAGCCTCATCTGTGGTGTGGCTCTTACCTGGCGTCTGCCCTGCCTGGCCAGCCCAGCGACGCTCTGAGCACAAACGCTGTATTTCTGCCCTAAAACTGGAAGGATTTTTAGAGAAATTGGTTATTTTTAAGTGTTAATGTTGCCTGGCAACAGGTTCAAGTCTGTTTGACTCATTTGGGTTCGTGCAGCCCTTGACCATTTACTTCCAACCCCTGCCCCTGGGTGTCTGCAACCACGCTCTGCATTTATTTTGTTAAACCCTTCTAAAAATTAAATCCAAATTTTATCTAAAAGATGCAACTGTTAAGTCTAGAACTTAAAGAGTTGTACTGTTGGGTTTTTTTGGTGTATTTATGGCAAACTCCTTGCCCCTCGTTGCGGCTGCAGCCGCTCTCAGGTCCTGGGCTTCGAGGTGCCTCTTGAGCCCGAATTTTGTACCCCTGCAGGGCCTCCTGGTCCCGCCGCAGCTGGGAGCTCACCCGAGGACGATTTCTGCTTTATATTTAGTATTTCAGGATTCCGACGCTGCGCGTTATGGGCTGGCAGGTCCGTCCCGGCCCTTCCCACCTCCCACAGCCCCGCACGGTCCCTCTGGGGTGGAAAAAGGAAAAAGCACCAGGATGTGCTTTGAGTCACCTGAGGTACAACAGCAAACTGAGTGGTTTTCAAAGAAAAAACAGCAAGAAACCCCCAAACTAAACCAGCACCCAGGGCTTTCCCTTGGCCCTGCTGGAAGCTCTGGGTGTTCACTGGCAAAACATCACCAAAACCAGGTTCAATTGACAAAAAAACCCGCTATGGCTTACGGTGTAGTAGTGTAAATAGTTTATTTGATCTTATGCCAGGAACAGACCAGGAAAGTAACATGAACTGCTTTTATAAAACACTTCTAATATTGCTAAGAAGCAGGTCTATTACTAGAAAAATATTAAAGAGAACATGCCAGCATTATATTCTAGTTGTATGATATAATTTTTGTCTTCAATTAAAAAAATACCTTTGAGCTTAAGAACGTGAGAGCTAGTGCTTTTAACCACTGATCTACCTAACAATTTATTGAATTAATTGTCAAACTTTCTTACGCAGATTAAAATGCTCTCCTGTCCCCGTCAGCGAAGAAAGAGGCGGCTTGGCATGTTCTCTTTAGCATGTCAAGTACACGTTGCTGTAAATGCAAGAAGGTGGCAGTTTTTAAAGTAAACTTCCTGTAAATAGGTAAGCAGAGGTCAATGTGGTAACTCTGAGCCCCAAACTGTCCATTTAGTTAAATATAAAAACAAAAACTATAAGTTAAAATAACATTCAGATTGTATAGCACAGGCTGATGCTTTTTTTTTTTTAAACAATATTTACAATATTACCCAGAGGCTAAAGTGGGAATAAAAGAGAAGTGTAAAAACCATAAAAAACTGCACCAATTTTGTAGCAAAATATCTGTACATTTAAAAACAGATTATCATATAACTACACATTATCTGAGGGGAAAAAAAAAAAAAAAAGGGACCTTCACCAGTGGTTCACATAAGCACAACTTAAAGAAAAAGGGATTCAGTGGTTAAATACTATACAATAAATTTTACAATTAACATATTGATGCAGTGAGACCAGGAAAGGTGAGCTGTAAGCAAAATGTATCTCGGAAAGTACAAAATTTCTCTTCAGTCCAGTTCGTGACTCCGGAGCAGATAGTGTGTCCCGCCAGCGCGGGCTCGGGCCCTCTGCCTGCGCCGGGGGGTGGGGAAGGGCACCACCGCCCTCCCCCTCCCTTTTTAAGCTTTAGAAACGCGAGGTGGAGCCTCTGACCTACCGGGATTTTGCCCAGGGGGTCCTCAGCAGGGAAGCTGAACTGGATTGTCCAAGGAACTGGGAGTCGGAGCGGGGTGTGAACCCCCCGGAGCAGGGCACGGGATGATTCTCTGCACGGGGAACTGAACTGCAACGCTCCTCAGGATCCTAATACTGATTACTGGGATGTTAATACCTTAGTGCTAATTAATAAATACACTTGTTACTCAAAAGCTGCCTCTAGCTGAAGAACACAGTCCGTGCCTTGGCCGCCCTCCTCGGTTTGTGCATTTGCAAGGTGTTTTTCCCCCTCCCCAAGCCCCCCGTGCCTCAGCCCTGCACACCACAACCATCACACCCTCGAGGTGACCCCGGGGGGGGCCGTACCGCAGCTCGTGCTCGCCGGGGTGGACTCTGCCTGGGGTGGGAAGAGCTACGGGTCTCTTCTTGGAATTGTTTCCCTATTACATATAGAAAACCCTTCAATGTCTTCCTTTCTTTTTTTTTTTTTTTTTAAAAAAAAAAAAAAAAAAAAAAAAAAGGGAAAAA